ATTTTACCATAAGGTTTTATACCATAAAAGGAAGGTGGGGATTGATTTTGGGGGTTATGGTACCAACAGTTAAGGAATTGGGGGCCAAAAAGGGGCCAAAAATAAGCATTTTCTAGATTCCAGACAATAACTGTGGAACGGTGTATGGATCTCTCTGAAATTATACTACAAGTTTCCATACCACTAAGGGATGGTTAGGATTTGCTTTGGGGGGTTATTGCTCAAACCGTTTAAGAATTAGGGGCAAAAAAGGGGGAAAAACAAGGTTGTCCTCATTAATGGACAAATACTTTAGTACAAAACATAATTTAAAGCAGTGTAAGGGAGATAAATCAAATACATCATTGAAATTATCTCCCTTCCACTGCTTTTAAATTATGTATAAAGTAATGGTTAATGAACAATTAAGATAATTTTAAACAGTGTAAGGGAGGTAATCCAAATACAACGTTTTGGTTATTTCCCTTACACTGCTTTTAAATTATGTTTAAATAAATGCATATTTATAAAGGAAGACCAGTATGGCGCATTAGATTTGTAAAATCTTTGACCACATTTATTTATTTGTTATGCCGAATCTAACCGTGTATTTAGATTTTTAATTTTGGGTCCCGTTTTTTAAATTGGTCTACATTAAGGTCCAAAGGGTCCAAAATTAAACTTAGTTTGATTTTAACAAAACTTGAATTCTTGGGGTTCTTTGATATGCTGAATCTAAACATGTGTTTAGATTTTTGATTATGGGCGCAGTTTTCAAGTTGGTCCAAGTTGGGGTCCAAAATTAAACTTTGTTTGATTTCAACAAAAATTGAATATATGGGGTTCTTTGATATGCTGAATCTAAACATCTATTTAGATTTTAGATGTTTGGCCCAGTTTTCAAGTTGGTCCAAATTGGGGTCCAAAATTAAACTTTGTATGATTTCAACAAAAATTGAATATATGGGGTTCTTTGATATGCTGAATCTTACCATGTATTTAGATTTTTTATTTGTGGACCCGCTATCAAATTGGTTCATATTGAGGTCAAAAGGGTCCAAAATTAAACTTTTTGTTTGATTTCATCAAAAATTGAATTATTGGGGTTCTTTGATATGCCAAATCTAACCGTGTTTTTAGATTTTTAATTTTGGGTCCCGTTTTTTTAATTGGTCTACATTAAGGTCCAAAGGGTCAAAAATTAAACTTAGTTTGATTTAAAAACAAATTGAATTTTTGGGGTTCTTTGATATGCTGAATCAAAACATGTGTTTAGATTTTTTATACGACCGCAAAAAAATTTTGTGGTCGTATATTGGTATGACGTTGGCGTCGTCGTCGTCGTCGTCCGGCGTCGTCGTCGTCCGGCGTCGTCGTCCGAATACACATGGGTTTTCGCACTCTAACTTTAGTTTAAGTGAATGGATCTTTTATAAATTTGACCATAAGGTTAAATACCACAAAAGGAAGGTTGGGATTGATTTTGGGGGTTATGGTACCAACAGTTAAGGAATTAGGGGCCAAAAAGGGGCCAAAAATAAGCATTTTCTAGTTTCCAGACAATAACTGTGGAACGGTGTATGGATCTCTCTGAAATTATACTACAAGTTTCCATACCACAAAGGGATGGTTAGGATTTGCTTTGGGGGGTTATGGCTCAAACCGTTTAGGAATTAGCGGCAAAAAAGGGGGAAAAACAAGGTTGTCCTGGTTAATGGACAAATACTTTAGTACAAAACATAATTTAAAGCAGTGTAAGGGAGATAAATCAAATACATCATTGAAATTATCTCCCTTACACTGCTTTTAAATTATGTATAAAGTAATGGTTAATGAACAATAAAGATAATTTAAAACAGTGTAAGGGAGGTAATCCAAATACAACGTTTTGGTTACTTCCCTTACACTGCTTTTAAATTATGTGTAAAGAAATGCATATTTATAAAGGAAGACCAGTAAAAATATCTGCAAATGTTGCATCTTTTTTTTTACAAAAAAATCCATATGAAAGATTTGACACTATATTTTTAATTCTATTATAAAATAGATTAAGTTACCACTATGGTAAATTTAAATGGGTAATTATGGTTGCCAACTCCATTGGAAATTTGAATTGAGATTTTGACCATGTCTTGAGGGAAAGAATTTTTTGGGGGAAAAAAGGGGGGGGAATAAAAAGAAATTGTGGAGGGTCAATTTTTTCTCATTTCAGATTTCAGAAATTAAAAAGAATTATTCTTCAAATATTATTTTTTTTTCAAATTTCAAATATTGAAAAATTTCAAGAAGTAATCTTTAATTGCACAGTATGGCGCATTAGATTTGTAAAATCTTTGATCACATTTATTTATTTGTTATGCCGAATCTAACAGTGTATTTAGATTTTTAATTTTGGGTCCAGTTTTCAAATTGGTCTACATTAAGGTCCAAAGGGTCCAAAATTAAACTTTGTTTGATTTTAGCAAAAATTGAATATATGAGGTTCTTTGATATGCTGAATCTAAACATGTATTTAGATTTTTGATTTTTGGCCCAGTTTTCAAGTTGGTCCAAATTGGGGTCCAAAATTAAACTTTGTTTGATTTCAACAAAAATTGAATATATGGGGTTCTTTGATATGCTGAATCTAACCATGTATTTAGATTTTTTATTTGTGGACCCCGTTATCAAATTGGTTCATATTGAGGTCAAAAGGGTCCAAAATTAAACTTTGTTTGATTTCATCTAAAATTGAATTATTAGGGTTCTTTGATATTCCAAATCTAACCGTGTATTTAGATTTTTAATTTTGGGTCCTGTTTTTTAAATTGGTCTACATTAAGGTCCAAAGGGTCCAAAATTAAACTTAGTTTGATTTCAACAAAAATTGAATATATGGGGTTCTTTGATATGCTGAATCTTACCATGTATTTAGATTTTTTATTTTGTGGGCCCGCTATCAAATTGGTTCATATTGAGGTCAAAAGGGTCCAAAATTAAACTTTGTTTGATTTCATCAAAAATTGAATTATTGGGGTTCTTTGATATGCCAAATCTAACCGTGTTTTTAGATTTTTAATTTTGGGTTCCGTTTTTTAAATTGGTCTACATTAAGGTCCAAAGGGTCCAAAATTAAACTTAGTTTGATTTTAACAAAAATTGAATTCTTGGGGTACTTTGATATGCTGAATCTAAACATGTGTTTAGATTTTTGATTATGGGACCAGTTTTCAAGTTTGTCCAAGTTGGGGTCCAAAATTAAACTTTGTTTGATTTCAACAAAAATTGAATGTATGGGGTTCTTTGATATGCTGAATCTAACCATGTATTTTGATTTTGGGCATTGGACCATAATAGGTAAATTAAAAAAATTGAAGTTCTTAGACCACATTCTTTCTGTGTCAGAAACCTATGCTGTGTCAAATATTTAATCACAATCCAAATTCAGAGCTGTATCAAGCTTGAATGTTGTGTCCATACTTGCCCCAACTGTTCAGGGTTCGACCTCTGCGGTCGTATCAAGCTGCGCCCAGCGAAGCATTTTATTGATTATGGGACCAGTTTTCAAGTTGGTCCAAGTTGGGTCCAAAATTAAACTTTGTTTGATTTCAACAAAAATTGAATATATAGGGTTCTTTGATATGCTGAATCTAAACATGTATTTAGATTTTAGATTTTTGGCCCAGTTTTCAAGTTGGTCCAAATTGGGGTCCAAAATTAAACTTTGTTTTGATTTCAACAAAAATTGAATATATGGGGTTCTTTGATATGCTGAATCTTACCATGTATTTAGATTTTTTATTTGTGGGCCCGCTATCAAATTGGTTCATATTGAGGTCAAAAGGGTCCAAAATTAAACTTTCATCAAAAATTGAATTATTGGGGTTCTTTGATATGCCAAATCTAACCGTGTTTTTAGATTTTTAATTTTGGGTCCCATTTTTTTTAATTGGTCTACATTAAGGTCCAAAGGGTCCAAAATTAAACTTAGTTTGATTTTAACAAAAATTGAATTCTTGGGGTACTTTGATATGCTGAATCTAAACATGTGTTTAGATTTTTGATTATGGGACCAGTTTTCAAGTTTGTCCAAGTTGGGGTCCAAAATTAAACTTTGTTTGATTTCAACAAAAATTGAATATATGGGGTTCTTTGATATGCTGAATCTAACCATGTATTTTGATTTTGGACATTGGACCATAATAGGTAAATTAAAAAAATTGAAGTTCTTAGACCACATTCATTCTGTGTCAGAAACCTATGCTGTGTCAAATATTTAATCACAATCCAAATTCAGAGCTGTATCAAGCTTGAATGTTGTGTCCATACTTGCCCCAACTGTTCAGGGTTCGACCTCTGCGGTCGTATCAAGCTGCGCCCAGCAAAGCATTTTATAAGTTTATGTGAAACTTTAAGTAAAGCTTTATATTTAGGACAATCAACATAAAATCAATGGTCAGTAAAGAGAGGGATGAAAGATACCAGAGGGAAAGTCAATCTCATAGATCGAAATCAAACTGACAACGCCATGGCAAAAAATAAAAAGACAAACAGACAAATAATAGTACAGATGACACAACATAGAAAACTAAAGACTAGGCAACACGAACAAAGAAGGCGAGACATTTCAGCGTGTGCACTCTTGTTTTACTCTTCGACCGCCAGAACCTGCTGCATTGACTTGTATCTATGAACGTTGTTCATTAACGTCAGGAACGAGAACTCATGACGTAACACCATTTGGTAGCGTGTTACCTTAACTTGAATGGTTACGAACACTGTATATTTAAAAGTAGTTAATTGATTCTAAAAATAAATGAATAAAAAAATATTGCTGGGTGGGCAATTCAGCAGATGACATGTTTGCAAGTATGAATAAAACATATGTTTTTGCACTACTAAATTTTTTTAGTTTTCTTATAAATGTTTTGTGAAATGCTGTTTGTCTCCATGTCTTTTTCGTTTTGTCTATGCTGTTATATTTCCTTCAAAATTGTTTTAGATTATCCGCTTTATGTATTACATTTTATTTTAATTTCCAGATCGTCTGACCTGCACTAGGCTAAATCTTAACAAGAATCAACTCGGAATGAATGTAAATGACTACATAAGTCCGTTTTTTTACCAAATGTATTAAGACAAATCAGGTATGAGTATTTATTTATAGATTTTTTTATATATATAAACTTAATTTGTTTACTCAAATGGAAGTCTTTGAAAACTGGTATGGAAGTTGTCACAGTACACGTCAATCGAACCCAATCTACAAAGTTTGTCGAATCCGACAATTCTTTTTAATAGACATGCACAAACTCGTTGTCAACGTTGTTCTTACCAATCACATTCAATGTTTACCACTGAAAGGTAGATAATAGTTGATTATTTAATGTTACAAGACTATAATTAGTTTTTAAAGTCTCATTTTCTGTACTTAAGCACCACTTTTGAAAAGCTTACGTTTCTGAGATCAGTGTGTCATAATAATTGAAAAGGACCTCTGTTTGATTTTGGTACCCATCAGACAGGGTTCAGAATATGTTTTTTTAGCAGCTGAAGAAACACATTCAGCAAAATCCCTTATTAAAGTGTACTCACTTTTCTCAATGAAAATATCGCTATATTTTTCATAGTATGTATTTCCGTGGGTTTTTTTTCGTATAAAAAATTATTCAAACATAGATATATATAACAACAAAAGACAAACAAATAAAACGTTAAAAGATCTACGGATTAACACCCTTATAAATCCGTATGTCAACACTTGTACCATGAAAGAGTAAATATGCCCTGCAAAACAATTACCATCAATCGTAACCATTGATACTGCACAGTCAACGATCAAGAGTAAGATATGTAATATTTATAATACTTATTAAAACAAATCATCCATCAGTTGACATGGTTACGCTAATCTTTTTTACAATCTGATGATTGCAAGTGTACTACTGTGCAATTAAAGTGAAGCTGTTTATCTTTATATGATTAAAACTGTCTGTAATTAGAGTGCCTGTTAAAGAGAGGCGAAAGATACCAAAGGGACATCTAAACTCATGTCGAAAACAAATAAAAACGCAAAACGACCAAAAGACAAATAACACTATACAAAACACAACATAGATAACTAAAGACTGAGCAACATGAACCCCATCAAGCGCAGTGGGTGCTCTTATGTACTACGGAAGGGATAGCAGATCCTGCTTTACATTTGACATCCGTCGTGACACTTATAAAGTGCAAAAATGTAACAAATTCCACGAAAGAGTAAATATGTTCTGCAACTTTGTAAAACAATTCCTCCGTTAGATTACCCAGTTGCGTTTTTAGCTATTTTTTATATGTTGATTGAAAACGTATCACCACTGCACAACTTAAATGATGATGTTTATTTCTATCTGAATAACACCCACAGATAAGTTTGTAACAATAATACTATGAAAGAGTAAACATGTCCTGCACCACATTTGCCATCGATCGCAACCATTGTAATTGCTTAGTCAACGAGCAAGAGTAAGAGAAATATATATCACTTTTTAAAACAATTCTTCCATTAGTTGACTAAAATACGTTAACCTAATAACCATCTGGTGATTGCAAACGCATCTAGCTATAATGTGCAACTTAAATTAAGCTCATCCTGTTTATCTTCCATCCGAAAAATTTGGTCAATCCAAAGGAGAAAATCTCTCTTGAAATAAAGTTGATATTTTAAGAAAGGTGTTGCTGATTGTATTGACTTGTAACGGAAGATTTACTTTGTTTAGCCCCCAAAAGAAAGGATCTTTAACTGTGGCAGTATTTCAAACCACACATGTTTGTATTAAACTAATTTCATACACAATTATCAATTGCAGGTCGTAACAATGAGCGAAATGAATCTACGGATAGATTCAGTGTTTTCCTTGAATATCCAAGATAAGCAGTTGTCGGCAAATACATCTGATTGTACAAAAGTCCTAGAAAATTTAAGTTCCTTAACTGAAAAGTATTGTACTGTTAATATTGAAAAAATAGATCTTGGCACGAAAAAATATGTCTCCTACAGAAAATGGATGAAAAATCATAAACATTGTTCTTCGATATGCTTAAAAAAAAGAGGAGATATACAGTCTGAGGAATTAGATGTTATTGGCGACAATGGACGTTTAACAAGGAAAAGAAAGCACAAACTTACCAATACAGGAAATAACGAAACTCCGCATTTACATAAATTACGTAAAGTGAAAATCACGCAAGATCGTACACACTCTCAAAATACAGAAATTTACAATGAAGGAAAATCAAATGGAACTGGAGAAGTCCACAACTCCGAATCAAGTGTAAGGATATACCATGATTTTACAGAAAATGCCACAGAAAAAGGGAAATCGGTTGTTGATAGTACAATAACTAGTACGAAACCGATAAAAGAAAACTGTAAAAATCGACTTCGTGTAAAAACACAAAAAAGACACCAACAAAAGATGGACAAAGATAAGGATAGTAAAAAAGACTTATCATCTAAAAGTTCTACATACAGCGGTAAAACGCAAGACAATTCAGTCAACAATGAACCACCAATGAACGACGCTTTATTACATCAAAACATAAAGAAAGAACCTGACATCGAATTTGAAACAAGGAAAAACGTGAAAGAACAGGTTTTTCAAGCTTTGCAAAATCCTGTGTGTGACCAGTCGTTTCTTGACATATGGGATAAACTTGCTAAGACACCGAAGGAAAAACGTGCTACCTACATTGAAAAACTTAGATCAATCTTGGATGAAAGTGAAATAAATGATATTGCCGAAAATGCATTCATTGATGTCGATACGACATCCGAGTTACAAAATTTCGACGATCCGAAAAATGTTGATAGTTTAAATGAAAACAAAGCTGTTAACAGTTGTACAAAATCTACTCTGGAAATTGATAGTACTAAAACAGTAGCAGCTTTTCAAATGTTTAATATTGGTGGTAAACAATTTGTTATACCAGCTAATGTAGACCAGAACTTGGTATCATCAGATCGACAATGGCAATCAAATTCTATAGATGCATTAAATGTGAAACCGAGTGCTCCAACTAGTTTGTTTTCAAACGTTAGCCAGAGCCTCTCAGCAAACAACAAAAATATCACATTAGTATCTTTGCCCTCTCAGATTCAGGCTAACATAATTAACAACGCTCAGGCAAAACCTAAAGAGCTACATGGTCATCTTATTACACAATCTGATGGTAAGCAGTTCTTCTTACCGCTGTTGGAAGGTAATACATTTCCTTCAAAACCAGATATTCAAATGAATTTAAATATTGAAAATCCGCAAGCGAAGAATTTTCAGACGGGATCCTCTGCTTCATCCATATACCCACTAGGTATGTCAGGCCAAATACAAATTCCGAATCCAAGTTTACTCTCTGAGGTGGGTAAAGGAAAATCAGGTAGTATTCAGACTCCATCTAAGGGACTTGGAGCAACTAACAAAGCAAATTTATTACCTCAGTACGTAACCCAATTGAATCGTGATTCGAAATCTCAAGTGTCTCAACCAGTTTCTAGTAGTTCTAAGCAAAATATAATGATATCAATCGCAGCAAATTCCCATGGAACCTTAAAATTAACAAATACCAGCAATGTTTCTCAACAAAACGCAGTTAATATATCATCCCAAGTTAATGCGAACAACTTTGAAACGATAAATCAACCCAAGATGCTATTACCAGTGAACATAAACGGAGTTAAGCAAAATGTTTTGTTTGATATGTTACCAGACGGTCGCCTGCAAATATCATCTGCAGTTGAAGGACAAAAGAATTCTGCACTAAGTAACAATGAACACAACAAACTAGGGTTGATCACAAACAACAATGTAAGTAATTTACAAACACTAAGCTTTCCTTTAAACCAACTGGTAACAAATAACCAAAGTGCCTCAAATAATTCAAGCCCGAACTGTGTTAACCAGAGTATTCCAATCATCCAACCGCAGACCAGTATCCAAAATACTTTAAGTAATCATATCAAAACCGAAAGACAGAATGTTTCAGTTAGCTCGTCTCAGGTTGTTAACCAGAGTGCTTTAAGTAACCCTGTTCTGACTAGTCTTAACCACAGTTTTCTAGTGAACCATCATCAAATAAATAATCAAGGTGTTTTAACTAGTCAGACTCAGCCATTTATTCTTGGTTTGAATGGAGGACAATTACCAATTATACAACAAGGAATCTCACAAATACCTATTATCAATACAGCAATTGGACAAAACCCAATATTAAATCCAGGGTTGAATATAAATACATTCTTAGGACAATTGTCTAATCCAACTAATATACAGTTAGGTCGAAACACTCCAATAGAACAAAATCTGCTACTGTTGGGTCAGTTGGGTCAGTTGGCACAACCAGCACAATCAGCACAATCCGTTCCAAACATACGCACGCAATCCGTTCCAAACATACAAACAGCACTGGCAGCGAATCAACTTCCATCTGCAAGTCAGCTTCTCTTAAACATAGCATCTTATCAAGATCAAGTTGGTCAAGCTAAAACAACTACAACCGGATCGACTTCAAATCCTCCAATTATGTCTATTTTCCCACAAAATACATCCAGGATGCAGAATCATAATATACAAATGAAAACGAATACCGATGGGAAAATTGTGAAAACAGGAAATTTGATAAATAAGAGCAATGGTTCAAAGACTACCAACATTCAGCTTAAACCTTGTAAAACCTCGTTTCAAGACACATTAAGGCAACTTAGACCTCTTGCTGTATCAGCCTGTGGTAAAGAGGTAGAAACAAAACCTGTCTGCTCATTTCAGACACCATCAGAAAAATTTAAATCCTCGCAACATCAATATTCAACTAACACAACGAGTATTGCGACGTCGGCACCAAATTCTTCATACAATTGGTCTTCATGGCAGTTCGAGAAGACTATGGTGCGGGATTTTAAAAAAGAAATAAAATCCCCTACCACTGATGCTATTAATGCAAATAAACTCACGGCGACGAATGTCAATCAGCCGAATTTAACGAACAAAATGGCTGGAACCTCAAAACAAAACTCTAAAAATGAGTTAACTAGCCCGTTGCCGGTACCAATTTTCATAAGAACATCTACTAGAAATATAATGCCAACTTCAACTGTAAAACCTTTTATCGAGCAAGAACATCGACCTCAAAATGTGACTACCTCTAGTGAAAGAACAATACGCACTTCTTCGGCAACTCCGAATCAGTACATAATCCAACCAATGGTCCAGCTAAGCAGTAACAAAAATGGAAGCACGTTGGTCAAAACTGTAATTCCTGCACAAGGATACGCAAAGTCTCCGGCAGTTACGACTCGTCCACACAACTTACCAAGTGCATCTCCGTTAGTTACTGTTAAAGATCTTGCTGAGACACATCCTTTACTGCAAAAATCATTACAAAGTGGCAACTGTTCAACGTCGTTGGATGTGAAAAGAAGCAAACGAAAACCTCAGGTTGTTGTTCGCGTTGACCCTGATGCTATCGATGTCGATGAAGAAACATCGAGTCTTGAAAAAGATTATTCAATATTTAATATTTGTACCTCTTCCGTGTCAACAGCAGTAACGGCATCGATTGCTCCAAGAATAGACCCTAATATTGTTGAAAAGGGATTAAGAATACCAGACAGTATGATGGAAGAACTCCGGAAAAAAAATATACCCGATCTTCAAAAAAAACAAAACTCAGTTGAAACAGCTATCCAGAAGTTGATGCACAATAAACTGTTCCTTAATAAACATACTTAACAGAGGCACAGATATTTACATTTTACACGCCTGTATCGTCATGTACTCTTGAAAATTTTTATTTGTTTTGCAACTCTCTTAATTAAGTTTTGTCATATTGTCGGACGAAATCATTGTATTTCTAACGTTGGTTATCAACTGTACAGGTGCTTATTATACGACCGCAAAACATGTTTGCGGTCGTATATTGCTATCATGTCGTCGTCGTAGTTGTCGTCCGAAGACATTTGGTTTCCGGACAATAACTTTAGTTTAAGTGGATGGATCTCTATGAATTTTAAGCAAACGGTTAAATACCACGAAAGGAAGGTTGGGATATTTTTGGGGGGTGATGGTCCCAACCGTTTGGGAATTAGGGGCCAAAAAGGGACCCAAAACAAGCATTTTTCTAGTTTCAGGACAATAACTTGTGTATTAGTATTTTGCTTGCTCTGAAATTGTACTACAAGGTTCAATATCTCAAGTAGAAGGTTGTGATTCATTTTAGGGGTAATTGCCGAAACCGTTCAGGAATTAGGAGGCCAAAAAGGGTCTAAAACAAGCATTTTTCTCGTTTTGAGACAATAACTTGTGTTTAAGTGTATGGATGTCTCTTAAATTGTTCCACATTTTACAAAAAGAAAATTTCTTCAAATGTCATTTTTTATTTTCCTAATTCTTTGTATATAGTCTGAAAACATATTTACTAAGTATTGCGCAACAGCACAGTGTATTGCACAACAGCAAGAAATCTTCAATTGAATATAAATTCAAATCATATAACCAATTTCAAGTTCTTTGACTACATTTATTCTGTGTCAGAAACCTATAATGTGTCAAATATTTAATTACAATCCAAATTCAGACCTGTATCAAGCATGAATATTGTGTCCATTTTTGCCCCAACTGTTCAGGGTTGGACCTCTGCGGTCGTATCCAGCTGCGCTCGGCGAAGCAGTTTATTTTTATTTTTGCCACTAATTGGACGGGGAATATACTGTCACCAATACCCATCAATCCATCCTTATAAAAATCAGACAGTTGTCCGAAGTTTTGTCCGTCATGTCTGCTGATATTGGAATGGTTTTGGTACATTAGTGGATAATGATGAATTACAGATCTAGTTTAAAGTGTTTCATACCTGTTCGCCGACTTTTGGCAGAAGTATGGCCCTTTTCGGACTTCAATGATAACTTTACTCGTCCTTTTTTGTATTACTCGCATGTCGAGTTTGATTTTCATTTCGTTTGAATTATTTTGTTTTGTTAGAAAATGCTGCAGGAGAGGGCATTCGTGTAGTACCACCCCATGATGTTTTATGTAGATTTTGGTTGACTTATTGTGTTAGATATTGGTATCATTTTCATTATATTCATACCAGTTATGGTCGAGTATATTTCATAAACAGGGAAATGTTACATGTTACATGATTTTATTTTAATTCAACGGAATGGGTTATCTTTTATGTTTCACGTTTATTCCCATCTGCAAACCTGAACAGTACTTTGGACATAAAATGAATATTATGATATGTAAGTGTATGCAAATGACAAGTAAGTCATCATGTCAGTTTTAAAGGTTTAAGAAGACACAATAGCATTGTATTATATTATCTGCTAAATAGTAAATGACAAGTAAGTCATCATGTCAGTTTTAAAGGTTGAAGAAGACACAAAGTCATTGTATTATATTATCTGCTGAACAGTAAATGACAAGTAAGTCATCATGTCAGTTTTAAAGGTTTAAGAAGACACAATGGCATTATATTATATTATCTGCTAAATAGTACATAGTTATACAAATACAAGTAATAAAAGAAAGGAGTAATTTTCAGACTTAAATCATATATGTCCATTGCACATGCGGTTTAAGTCCAGTTTCAGTAGACGAGACAATTCCTAATTAATTTTAATTTGATCCATGTGAACGTTGTGAACGGTGGTTGAATGATGGGCAATTGTAACATCACCATATGGATTTGTTTTCCTCAAACATGCAAAATTTGTGTTCAAAATATTTGTACAAGACAAAAAAGGTACAACACATATTAAAATATTGCATGTAAAATCTAATATGTTTATTGACGGCGTATTAAAGTGCTCCTATTTAATTTTTATTTGTCATATGAACTTTGTGGAGAGAAAAAAAATTGATTTGAACTATACACACGTTTTTGGTTTTGTGAATTACGCTGTTTTTTATTCATTACAAACTTTCATTGTATGTTTGAGTTAAATGCACATGTATGTTGCTTATATTTTATCATATTGATTGTAAGCATCGTCAGAAATAGCTGTAATTTTTTAATCGGTCTCAAGTATTAAACAAAACCTATTTACGAAACAAATTAAGATTAGCTATAAAGGGTGTAAACCACACCTCATGTATATTATTATTTACTCACATATGTTTGTTTTTTTTAGTTTTTGCAGGGGTTATGGGTCGTCATACAAAACACTTACCTTAATGAACTATTTCTACATCTCATCACTACCGAGAGCTAAAAAATGTTTTTTTAATGATTGATTGTTGTTTTAAACACCACTTTCAGTAATATATCATGTGGTCAGTTTTAATTGGTGGAGGAAGTCTGAATGCCCGGAAAGAACCACAACCTTCGGCAGGAAAACTGACAAGTCTAGTCAATCAGGACTGGAGTCGAACGGACGTGCCACGTACAGGGTTGTTTATTCTAAGTTCTAAGAGGGGGATCATAAATTTGATAAAGCAGCAAGTCTTTCTGAATCGATGGCAATATACTGGTCTAACGTTAGTTTTATGCAATCAATTTGTAATTTTGTTTCTTACCATTTAAGTCCCTATTTTTGAAGTCAGTTTTTTTTTACAAAAAAAGCAGGTATTCATCTATACAAAACTATGTAAATCTGATTTGACAATTTAATGATTCCAAATTAAGATTGACAATAGTCCTAATCGAAAAACAAACATGTTTATTTCTTTTAAGAGATGTATTGCGAATCTTTTATTAAAGTTTTTTTTTCTTTCTTTTTCATAATTTTAAAAATGTTTATATTGCTTAAAGATTTTTTTTTTTCTTCTCTTTATTATTGAAATCACAAACAGTTAGTGCTTTTTGAATGTAGTATTGCATTAATTGTTTGGAATATATTTGAATTGAATGCCTTTGCATGATGGTTTATGTTTGCAGTTGTTGATCTTAATAAACAACGAGTTATTTCACTGCTTATAATTCTTATACAAGATAAGCTTAAAAACCCAATATAAGCTAGGTATGCGACGTCATACAATCGCAAAACCAGGATTTACCCTGATATTCTTCATCGTGCGTGTTTGTTCAAAATGAGAACGCGCATGTCAACGATAACCTGTTTTGTTTTGTTTTGTTTTTTTTTGTTCCCGAAATTCATTCTTTATTGTTGTTAGTCTATACTTCTATTTTATTTTTCATCGTTTAGTAATGTGATAAAACTGGGCTTGTCTTATGATTCTCCTTCCCTTGTAACTCGCTATGGACTTTTTATCATTTTGGAATACTTATGGGTTTTTTCAATAATTTTGATCAACAACATATTTGAGTTTGAATAATATCCTAACAGAAAGTCGGTATTTAAATTATTAAATCGCATCCATGCTTGCTGACTTTTTTGTCCTCATATGTCACAGAGTTATGAAAAAACTTCTTATAAAGACAATTCGAAAAAGAATAATCAAAATTTTTTACTTTTATTTTCAGTTATGTTGGATGCTTTTCATTTAGTGGTTCTTATTTTGCGAGCACCTGCATCTTATATATTTCTGTAAACTTGAAGTTCAGGATACTTAGACAGAAACAGTTCTACGTCATATCTATATCTTTTCCATGAAATTTCCTTGAAATTAAAATACTAATAGAATAACTAATCGAAGAATTCAAATAAAGAAAAATATTCAACGAGTGACCGAACAACACATTAATTCACGAATGCGCGTAGCGCATGAGTTAATTATCAGTGTTGTTCGCTCACGAGTTGAATATTTTTCGATATTTGAATTCTTTGATTAGTTATTCTTTTTGTTACATTAGCAATGGGCTTTTTAATGGAATTAAAGTAGAAAATGTAAGGAACTATATCTTTCTCTACGCATTCACAATTTGCTTTTATGCGACGTCATGGACAACGTCTTGACAACACCTATAGTTGTATGACGTCAGAGGAGTGAAATAACCGAGTTTATTTCACATGTGAAATTATCGGTTTTTATTTCAATGGGAAATCACGGTAATTCATTGCAACCAATGTAATAATCGAATATATGATTGTTATGTCCTCTTGTCAGCTGTAGTAACATACGAAATGCCAGAAACTATGGTGTTTACGTAAATCCTTAGAAACGACATATCATATCCTTGTCATTATGGTCATTTGGGAAACAGGGATATATATTCTAAATATGCTACAATATGGTTATTATAAAAAAAACTATTTAAAATATCATTTCAAAAGTTCTACAATCTGCATCACTAGTTGGGTTGAACGTTGCAGTGTCTCGGTTTCTCAAGTTTAATGAGACAATTATATATTGAACGTCCGAAATGTCCACTATCGTCAATTTAACATTATTACCGGTTTTTATTCTTGGAAATGGACTAAGACTTGAATTGTATGACGGATGCCGAATTCTGTAGAGTGTATGATTTAACCACAACTTGGCTCCATCAATTTGTATTCATGCGATTCAATTCTCCCTTACATATTTGTTTGTTTTTAATTTGGGGATTTAAAATTTATATCGGTTTAATACCTTCTTATAAAATGGGAATTCATGAAGCCCAAGTTTAGATTTTCAAGTTAATATATGCAAATGGCTATTTACGTCGGTTCGTTGTGTCTCAACTCACTATGGACTTGTTTTTGCGGTCTTATCTTTACATACCAGAAGTCTTAATTTTACTCAGTGTGACATTTTGACTTGGTATGAATTCGCATGACGGTTTAAGCATACATAGCAGAAGACGCTTGAACTTGGAGTTAAAAGATGATGCTTGCTTATTTTCATTCTTTCTGAGGTCTCCTGTATGAAGTCTGTCTCTTATGTATAAACGAACAAATCGACAACAAAAGCACAGTTGGTTCCCATGGGAGTGGCGATTGTTTGATGAAAAATACGTCCTCGAAATATAACAACTATGTTGTCAATCAAGAAATCAAGCACCTTGATAATGTCAGTTTAATAGAATGTTCTCTTTTTATCACTGACAGGTGTTTTTTTACAAAGTATGATTTATCCCTCATTCCATAAAACAATATACTGGTATCAACGTTGCCCATTCTTTTTTATGAAACAAACCAGGACAAAGACAAAAGTTTTCCTCTTTGGTAAGTGTCGTGAGGTATGTTATGAGTTCCCAAGAGAATTGTTAAATATCTAACTCCTTTATCAAGCAGTCTATGTAATGTTATTTACACACGATATTGTTTGGGATTTATCTTCGGAAATAATAACATAGTTGTCATGGAGGTAGGCAGGTGTTTAGCAACATTCTGGTCTCTAAAGATCGATGCAGCATTTGTATTCATAAACCAAATCAGTTTTTTTTTATTCCAATTTGTATCAACGACCTCACAGCCTTATCCCATTTGGAAGGAGTATCTACGTTTTCTTTTTTGCGTTGAGCCAACTGCCTGGCGTTATCATCGAATGAATCCATCAGTATTTTAAAAGTTGTGTGTTCTTATTGATGGATTTAGGCTAATAATATTTTGTACCTTTGGATAAAATATTTTGCAAAGAAGTGTTATTGACAATATTCAGGTCAACAGTTCTAACATGAATAACGTTGCTACTATTGGCTCTAGCTGTTTAATAGATAGTCAGACATTTTTCGAGGTGCTCACGGCCTATAATTATCTAATGGATTAACCTATCTATAATGTTAATGACTCTTTGTTAACACCAAACAGCGTCTTAAAGAAGCTGAATAAAGTGTTTATTTACTGAATTAGATGTTCTTTGTGTTATCTATGCTAATCTGCAAACTATAGTAGTTTTGTTGAAATAAAAAAAAACTTTGACCCAAGTGTCCAGCTGTCCCGTTTCTTTCGAATTTTTATCGTAGACTGACACATGTTTCGAAAAAATCCTCCGACACTTTGTTAGTTGAATACTCCCCAGAAAATATTGGATTTCATTACAATTTTGAAAGACTAAAAACCATTGTGTACATTGGCGAACAAACCACTAACATTGTCTTTGATAACAATGAAATAAGGATATTGAGTTCAAGGTTGGACATTGGTAGTTCGCATAGAGCAAATAAGAGGGACTCCTGAAGAACCCCTCACGGCACCAATGTTTGAGTTAAGTTGGATAGTACTTCGCTTTGTGTAAATAAAAAAAAACGTGTGTATATTCAAACTCGGTTTATTATACTGACAATAAGCGTAATAATGATATGAAGTTACAATACGTTTCTTTAGTTACGTTACAGTCTTTGACGTTAACAATACGAGTTGCATTATTTAGTGTCTCTGTATTGCGGCTAATTCGTAATAACCCCCGGCATCAACATCCGAGTTGGTACCTGTGTATGCAGCCAGAGAGACTGACCATGTTCCATCAAATAATCAATAGTTCATTGTTCATAGACTGATTCAGTTTTAAACTCCATTTAGTTTTATCTCCGATTTTTTTTTCTCATTTAATAAATGAACTATGAAAAAGGGGTCAATCTGACAAGTATTTTGGCTTCATAAATAAAGAAAATAATTAAGAAATAATTCATGGCAGCCGTAGATTTGTTTTCATTGAATATAAATGCCCAACCCATGGTTAAATGAGAACAAATCTACGGCTGCCATGAATTATTTTCGATTCTAATAGGACAATTTCAGTACTTTTATTAACCGTGAAAGCCCTATACACACGATACTGTTTTGGCTGTTCCGTTTACCCCCCCCCCCCCCCCCCCCCCCCCCCCATATAATAATATTAGTAATATTATATTATTCAATAATAATTTAATTTTTGGATTTAACGTGTCTTCTGATTGGCTGACGTTGTTTTGTTTATCAGCTCATAGACATAATTTTGTCATGTGACCGTGACGTCATCAACGTTTTTTCATGGTTAACTCCGGTTTATAATGGAATTTAGAATTAAATTATAAGAAATGACTGTAATATTTTTTCTGTCTATTCGAAATAACATAAAAAATGTGGTGCACACTTTAAAATAACCCGCTACTCGGGTTATTCAGTG